GTACGACATATTGGTTGCGTTCAGCAGAGAAAGCAGCTTCATAAGCGCTTTACGCTGTTGCCAGCTGTTAGAATATTCTGCTGAACGCTATTTTTTAAATATAGTGAAACGTACTTTTGTAAACAATAAGACATTTGCAGCACCGCGTGCTTTTGGGATGAGAATATCCAAAAGTTAAAAAAATTTCATACTTGGGATATAAACATAATCTTCACACAATTTTTATTGTATTTTATTATAACGCGGCTTTTCTCTGTTCATTTTATTCAGCATATTTAGACTAAAATGAATGTAATAAATTTCACTGTATTGGACGAAGATATGAATATTAATGACATAGCAAATATTGTGATAGCAGATGTAGGTCATCCTTTGCCAGAAAATATTATTAGACGACGAAATGAAAAATTACGTAATCAAAATTTGTACGAAGTTACAATTCCTCGCTATACAGATATTCAATTTGCCGAACATTTCAGAATGTCACGAGGTATGTTTCAGGTTTGTATTTAAATATATTTTTCTTAATAATCCCAATTTTATTCTTTATCTGCTGCTTTTATGTGCTTTAATTATTTACTTTAATTATTTAACGTAGTTGCTCCTCATGTAAATCGAGATGAAAATGTAAATATATGCATAAACAAGAAATTAATGTTAATGATTTGGACATTAAGTAAGCTTGAAAGTTTTTTAGCTTTGAGTAACAGATTTAGCATAGCTAAAAGTACTAGCCATAATATATTTAAAAATGTGATATATACTTTGGCTCAATTATTGCGTACATATTGTTGCGCTCACTCTCACACTCGCGCTTGCACTCGGGTAAATGAAAACACCCGCGTAACGACTAAGAGGCTTTAATATTTACAGCACAACTCGCTCACGCTTTAAACAAGAATAATTCTCTATTTTAATAATTCTGAATTCTCGCGTCTGTCTTTGATGACAGCTTGCCAGAGACTCTCTATCAGCTGTTCTGTTATCTTCGTATCGATTTTCTCGTCGTCAGGACAATATTCGCTTAATTGTCAAAATCAGATGCCTAAGGCTCACGGACAACGGAAGTCGCCACAAACCTTGTGGCTCGGACACAACAATATGTACAATGGCCAAATGCAGTATAGTCTAATTTATCCTCAAATGTAAGTATTAATATTGTAATGTATTTTCAGTGAAATTATATACAGACTTTCTTAGTATTTATAGTATTTATTTATAAATATTTAGTATTTATTTACAAAATAAAAATTCCTTGTTGTTATTTGTTAATTGTAGATATTTGAAGCCCGATCACGTGGATTGGCAGGAATAATTGATGCAATTGACGGATGTCATATTCCATGCAAGCAACCCATCGGAAATTCCAACGATTCCAACGATTATTGCAATAGAAAAGGTTTCCACTCCATTGTACTACAAGGTAAAAATTGCATATTAAATTACTTGTGTATTATAATAAATATTATAATAAATAATAAATAAAACTTATATAAAACTTACCTTCTTAAACAAAAAGGTAAAAAAATGGCGCCAAGTACAAGCGCAACACGTATTGTGTTATTTTTAGAAATATCAAACTCAAATTATTTTTTTAAGGTATATATGTATGTGTACATAAATTTTTACAAGTAAAACTTATGACTATAATAAAATTCTACAACACTATTCTACTGTACAAAAGAAGTGATATATTAGAATATATATAGATATATTAGCAGCGCCAACTGAGAAACTTAACATACACAGGGTGTTTCAAAACCGTGGTGGTATTAACCAACCACCCTAATAACTCTTCAATATTGAAGTTTCAAGGAAAATCATCTGAATAAAAGTTGTAGGGATTTGAGCGAGCTACCTTATGATATCCTTTACTTTGACCTTGATCTCTATTTTCAAAGTCATTTGAAGGTCAACTTGCGTTTTTAAAGGGGAACCATTATTTTTTATTACACTGTTTTTTTCTTCTAGTTAATTGGAACAACTTTTGTCTAAAACATTTTTTATTTGTCTAATATTTTTTGAGATATTTGAGGAAAACTTTTTCAATATTTAACTTACGATATCTCGCTAACTATTTGTCGGAAGAAAAAGTGGTACTAGACTTTCTTGCTTTATTTAGTCTCAAGAATATATTGTTATTATAGCGCCCTGACTTTTGTTAACTTATTGACTTTTGGAAAATTCAAAATCATCAAATTAACAAAAATCAGGGCGCTATTATAACAATATATTCTTGAGACTAAATAAAGCAAGAAAGTCTAGTACCACTTTTTCTTCCGACAAATAGCGAGTTAGCGAAATATCATAAGTTAAATATTGAAAATGTTATCAAGTTTTCCTCAAATATCTCAAAAAAATATTAGACAAATAGAAAAATGTTTTAGACAAAAGTTGTTCAAATTAACTAGTAGAAAAAAAACAGTGTAATAAAAAATAAAGGTTCCCAATTAAAAAACGCAAATTGACCTTCAAATGACCTTGGGTAATGCTAATGCCGACGGTACTGTAACTTTGAAGCTTCATAACTCGGGATGTACTTAACAAAAAATACTTTGTTGTAGTGTTTTGGAAAGCTCTTGAAACGTTATAAGAATATGCCAAAAAAAGTAGGGTATTCCATTTGAAAAGTTCAAGGTGACTTTGCCCTGACCTTATTGACACTAGCCAAGGTCAAACTGATAAGTTCGGTAAATAGATCATTTTATACCTTACAACTTTTGACTGAAACATTTTTTCCATAAACTGATTGTTTTCGAAATATTTTATCGTTCGAATACTTTTTGAGAACCCTGTATAATGCAAAAAATTCTAGCAAGTTTTAATTAGACCGTCGATAACTCAGTAGTTTCGTAAATAATATAAGTAACGTACGTACCACGCAAATAGTATAAGTAACATTAATTAAGTATCGATAAATAAAAGCTTGTCAGCGATTTGGTGTAAAGTGTGATTGAAGAATACCACAGCATTAAAAAATTGATAATTATCCATGTAAAGCGTAAACATAAATATCAAATTCCGAAATTCGTGTGGTATGAGTTAAGAAATGCCTCGTATGGATTTACATTATAAACTTTGTGAAATAATTTTCATGTTTATTTGACGGATATCTTAATTTTGTCTGAAAAATGGTATAAATGTATAAAAGGGAAAATTTCCATTATGATCTTGTTTAATAAAATATCTTGATGTTTTTATAATGTCTCGCAAGATATATTATGAGTTACGATCGCACTTATGAAATACGTAAAAGGATAAATAAATCTGCATTGAATGAAAAATGACATTTTTGTATAAATTGGCTCAACATTAATGTAATTTGTCTGATTAACAAGTACTGTACTATACAGGGTGCACGATTTATCTGAAGACATTGAAATATCTCGAGAACTATGCATTGGATAAAAAAAAGTGGTTAATGAAAGTTGTTAGTCTCGAAGGGGGACATCCAATGATACCAAACTCGACCTCCCACCCCACCCCCTGGGGGTGGGGGTTGGGGGCAACTTTGAAATCTTAAATGGAAACCCCTATTTTTTATTGCAGATACGGATTCTACGCCACAAAATACGTAAATTTTGTCCGAAACTTTTTTTTTATTCGTAATGGGTGGCGCTGTAATCGCAAAAAATTATATTTTCCGCAATTCTCTAGAAATGATCATTGGATTGAGAAATAAAAAATACCTGTTCAATATTTTTAAAGAACATAATAAAAGTTATTCCCCCCCCATCCTCTCGGGGTAGGGTGGGTGATAACGTTCAAATCTCAAATGCGGACCCACATTTTTCATTGCAGAATTAGATTGTACGTGAAATTTTTATTGAAACAATTTTTTTCATTCGTGATAGATAGCGTTGAATTTTTCCGAGAAATTACTTTTAGCGTTACACAGGAACAACGACGAGGACGTAGTAGTTTTATGTTCCCTTCGGGTGCTTTTTTAATGTGAATCCCCTTGCCTCTTACAGATCGGGTGCTTTTTAATGTGAGTCCCTTGCCTCTTACAGATCGGGGTGCTTTTTTAATGTGAGTCCCCTTGCCTCTCACTGTTCAATTAATTAGAGTAAGTGAAATTTTGCACTGCCTTTTATAATAAGCCGTAGTTCGCCATACACCCACAGTGGCGCGTCGAGCAGTTCCCTCTTCGATTCGGGTTCCCATTTGAGATTTGAACGTTACCACCCACCCTACCCCGAGAGGATGGGGGGTATAACTTTTATTATGTTCTTTAAAAATATTGAACAGGTATTTTTTATTTCTCAATCCAATGATCATTTCTGGAGAATTGCGGAAAATATAATTTTTTGCGATTACAGCGCCACCCATTACGAATAAAAAAAAAAGTTTCGGACAAAATTTACGTATTTTGTGGCGTAGAATCCGTATCTGCAATAAAAAATGGGGGTTTCCATTTAAGATTTCCATTTAAGAAAGTTGCCCCCAACCCCCACTCCCAGGGGGTGGGGTGGGGGGGGAGGTCGAGTTTAGTATCATTGGATGTCCCCCTTCGAGACTAACAACTTTCATTAACCACTTTTTTTTATCCAATGCATAGTTCTCGAGATATTTCAATGTCTTCAGATAAATCGTGCACCCTGTATATACCTATAGAGGCATTTCCACGATATTTCTGATTTCTAATGATACTTACATATATAATGTATATGTGATGTCGAATATTCCAATTTTTTTATGTCCTTCTCCGACAAAATCTCTAAAACTTCAACATTATAGTTACGCTAAGTTATTGCGTACAATACACGTTGCGTTATACAATACACAAAAAATAAATTTGCAGGTCTATTCGCAGTAGCAATGTAATAATGATGTCGCATATAGCAATAGTTACACTACAAGAAGGAATTATGCAAAATTTATGCAAAGGGGCACTTTGAAACGTCCTTCATGAACGTTCTTCACGAACTGATTAGAATTCAATAGGCAAGCAAAATAATTCATAATGGACGCGATAGAGAATAATAATTATGGGTGAATAAATCGATGACCTGTAGTATAATATTCACATAAATATTCACGATGACTGGACGATGACCGTACAGAATTATCAGAGTGAATAATCGTTATTGCTTTCTTAAAAGAACGCTGCAGTTGCAAATCAGACTTAGCTGTTGTAACTCGTGCATCCACAACCTTCTCAACTCGTCTGTTGGTTATCATTTGATAAAATTCGCAAACTTTAGCATATAAAACACCACATAAAAATTCCCTTACGCTTCAATTAGTAAGTTCTTTCTAGTGATTATTACATTTTTGGCATTTTAACGCTTAAAATCACAATGGATTCGCTGTGTTCGATACCGGCCTTCTATTCCGGAAAGAGCGTTTTCATTACTGGTGCTACGGGGTTTTTAGGAAAATCATTGATAGAAAAACTGTTGAGGTCGTGTCCTGATATAAAAGAAATATTTCTGTTAATGCGTCCGAAGAAAGATATGAATATAGAAGAACGGCTCCGAAAGCTGCTGACTAACGCGGTAAATTTACTATTTATAATTGCGACAATCTCGCAAAGTATCATTTTCATCATGTGTTGTGTTGTATGCTTTAGTTGTTTGATACATTACGGCGTGAGCAACCCCATTGTTTCGACAAATTGATTCCCATAAAAGGTGATATTGCTATTGAGGATCTGGGTTTGTCAGACGCCGACAGAAACATACTAATCCAGAAGACGTCTGTAATATTTCATATAGCGGCGAACGTGAGATTCGATATTACTCTGAAAATGTCGGTGCTCCAGAACGTAAAAACTACGAGAGATATATGTATTTTAGGTGAACATATGAAGAATCTGGTGGTAAGTAGACACTATATTAATATTTAAAGGCATGTACTTGCATATGTATGTGTGAAGGAGAGAGAAAATTGCGATTTAAATTTTTTTTTATATTGGAAATTCCGATATCTTTTTTATAAAAATAGCGATAAGATACTTAACTAGAAAATTATCAGACATTATTATGTGTATGTATTTAACTATATTCCTTAAAGGCTCTCGTGCATGTCAGCACGGTATACTCACAACTCGACAAACAAGTTATTGATGAAATCGTGTATCCAGCGGAAGTCGATTGGAAGAAAATGATTCAAGTCGTCGAGACTTTGGACGAACAACTGTTGGAAGTGTTTAAGTCAAAGTAAGTGTAGAAACCGGTATCTACGCTGTATACAGGGTGGGGGGTTATAAGTTTACAACCCGAAATGTGAAGGTAGATTGGGTTAAGATAAACATAAAAGTCCCATACCGTTTTGCGAGATTCGCAATAATTATCGAGTTATTAATGACAGAAATCTGAGGAATGGGAGCGCGCCGACATAGATGATTGGAGAAGCGTTGCAGCTACTCAGGCCACAGCGCAGCCCACTCGACCCAGCAACTGTTGGTGGCGTGCGGCGAGACGTAGGTCCGGCGAGATAAAACAACGAAGAGCAGCGCATTGTCTTTCCCCCCGCCGCGCACCGGCAACAGTTGCTGGATCAACTGGGCCGCGCTGCGGCCTAAGCAGTTGCAACGCTTCTCCAATCATCTATGCCAGCGCGCTCCCACTCCTCAGATTTCTGTCATTAATAACTCGACAATTATTGCGAATCTCGCAAAACAATATGGGAATTTTATGTTTGTCTTAACCCAATCTACCTCTACATTTCGGGTTGTAAACTTATAACCCCCACCCTGTATACTAAGCGCTTCATCGAGTACATCACATATGTATATCTGATAAATTTAAAATATATTAATAAAATGAGGTAATCTACGTTCTCAAATCGTGGGCAAAGGAGGAAGGTCAATAAGGCCGGTTTTTGGGCCCATCTCCGATTGATCTCAAAGTACGTCATTTTACTCATCTAAGTGGGCTTCATTACATACTGTAAGGATTTTTCCTAATAATGATTTAATTCAGAGAAATAGGCATTTTTATATTCCCATTTTACATGGGTTTTCGTACCTTCGATCAAATGATGCTGGGTTTCATATTGTTAACATTGCTCACGCAAGATCATACTTTCCCAAAAATTACGTATATATACACTACAATATATGTCAGAGCCATCATTTTTCTCGAGGTACTTCGCCTTTAAAATACAATTTTTTGCACACTTTATTACACTTGCGTCCTCAAAAGAAAAACAAATCCTTTATCTCAAAGAGAATTCCTTCAAAAAACATCAAAACAGATGAAGATCAACCAAAACTGATGGTTAATGAGACAAAAAAATATCGTTCATGTGTGACTGCGTCTGCATCAGTGAGGGCCGCCGGCGAAGCAAATCAGCCACGACGGCGGCCGCGGCTACTGCCGTCATGGCTGATTTGCTTCGCCGGCGGCCCTCACTGATGCAGACGCAGTCACACATGAACGATATTTTTTTGTCTCATTAACCATCAGTTTTGGTTGATCTTCATCTGTTTTGATGTTTTTTGAAGGAATTCTCTTTGAGATAAAGGATTTGTTTTTCTTTTGAGGACGCAAGTGTAATAAAGTGTGCAAAAAATTGTATTTTAAAGGCGAAGTATCTCGAGAAAAATGATGGCTCTGACATATATTGTAGTGCATATATATACGCAATTTTTGGGAAAGTATGATCTTGCGTGAGCAATGTTAACAATATGAAACCCAGCATCATTTGATCGAAGGTACAAAAACCCATGTAAAATGGGAATATAAAAATGCCTATTTCTCTGAATTAAATCATTATTAGGAAAAATCCTTACAGTATGTAATGAGGCCCACTTAGATGAGTAAAATGACGTACTTTGAGACTAATCGGAGGTGGGCCCAGAAACCGGCCTTATTGACCCTCCTCCTTTAGTTGATTTCATCTAAAGTGATATGTTTCATCAAAACGATCGCTTGTGACAGATTTAGAATATATTCTTGAAAAATTGAAAACGCAAATGGAATAATTGACAGGTACATGGGCTGTATGCCGAATAGCTACATATTTTCCAAGAAACTCGCCGAGCAAGTGATAGTCGATTACTCTGAGTCGTTGCCGTGTGTAATTTTGAGGCCATCCATAGGTATGCTGTTATTAACAAATATACTGCTTATTATTCATATCGCTTGTCATACAAATTTTGCACGGAGAAAAATAATTTACATATGTTAACGATGCAATAAACAAAACAAAAATATTTTAGTTGAAGAATGTAGGATCTCTTGACTATCAAGTTTGTTTCTAAGATTCAGAAATTATGGTTTTCCGGCTTTGAAATACGTTTCAATTAATCCTTTTCTACGTGTAGGCTATATGGTATGTTTTTATCATCGAGTTTAAATCCTGAATTGGACTCTCACGATACATAAATGACTTGTAGTTCTTCACAACAGTCGTTTTCCAATGAGGAGCATTCATAATATTGTTATACACGTTATGCACCTACATGGTACATCAACACCATCTTTTTAGAAAAGCATGAATTAGAAAACTATCAGATTACTTAGGTACATAAACGTAAAGGGATGAGAATTTGCTTTTAAACAACTTATTTTCATAAATTAATGGAATTTTTGAATATCAGTCTGTTTATCTCAGGTTTGCAGTTTATTAATTATTTGATACTATCAAACTTTTCTAAAAAAATTAATATTTTAACAGTTACAGCAACGTTGAGCGAACCTGTAAAAGGATGGATGGACAATTTTAACGGACCGGTAGCACTTGTGATCGGCATTGCAAAAGGACTATTAAGGATAATGTATGCAGATATAAACATATACATTGATATCATACCGGCTGATACCTTCAGTAAATCTACCATTGTTGCATCGTGGAAATGTGGAGTGAGAAAGAGGTAAACTCCATTTTATTGTATTAAGCGAGGATCAGAAGAATCGTTAAAATTTTTGAAGGGAAAAGTAACGGAATATACAGGGTGTCCCGTTTTAAATACCCCATGCAAATTGAAAAATATGGAAGATACGAAAATGAAAAATGTTTCAGACAAAAGTTGTATGGTTTTAAGGGGGACATACAACAACTATATCAATTTGTTCACAGATAGCGCCATTTTCGAGATATTTACTGATCATTACTTTTCTTAAATAGAAACCCCAATTCCTTATTACACCATCTTTTCCTACCAATTAATTTGAATAATTTATTGTTACGTGCTGGGTGCCAATAAGCGCGTATCCGGGTTCGCGAAATGATTTAACACTTGACTAAGAAAGAACTCTACTTTACTATCGTTATTTACAAGGATATTTACAAGATTCTTTCGTTCTAACCATATCTGAGAACAACGTTTTTCACACGTCAGCTCGCGGCGACGGCTTGTGTATCTCTCTGTCAGTTATCATTTGTCTCGTTGTCTAGGGAAATCGCTCTCCAATCTCATGGACCGGGATTTTACGTAGCTCAGCTGATCAGATCATCCCAGCTGTCGGGCAATTTAAAAACAGGCGATACCACATACCGTGGCGTATAATATACAGGGTGTTATAAAAGTCCGGGAAGAGCAGAATAACTAGAAAAATATGAGTCCTAGAAAAAATGTGAAGTACTAGGGATTTTATGATTTTTCCTGGCTATCTGACGGTGACCTTGGATTTGACCTTGACAATGATCTTGAAGGTCATTTCAAGATCAGGTCAATTTTTTAATGGGACTCCATACTTTTGATCCCAGAAATGAAAAGAGCGGAAAATTTTACGTTCGGATATATCCTTGAACACTGTCAAATTTGACCTCTGAAGGTCACATAAAGGTCTAAGCTTGTTTTGGGCTGAAAACGCGAATATCTTCGAAAATGCACCTGCTAGAGAGCAATGTTACGCATAAGAATAAGAACGTAGAGGTCAACGAGGGAACCGAATCCGACGTCGGATTTTGCAAATTCAATATGGCCGATTCAAAATAGCGGCCGATATTTAAGAATAACAAAAATTGGATCTCGTTTAAGGAGTTTTCGAAGTCGTTTCTGAAATCGAATCCGACGTTGGATTTTACAAATTCAAGATGACCGATCCAAAATGGCGCCCGATATTGAGGAATTACCAACAATCGGAGTGTGACCTCGTACGTAACGTAAAATCTCACCCTTCCATTATGGGGGGGAGGGTAAAAGTATGTGTTTCCAGCCTAAAAGAATTAATTGACCTTGATATGACTGACACATAACCTTAAGAACAAGGTCAAGGTTGAAAACGTCATATCCGAACGTAAAATTTTTCAATCTTGACATTTTTAGGTCAAAAGTATGGATTTTCAGTCCTAAAAAAGTCCGGTTTGACCTTAATAACAATCTTAACTCATGACCTTGAGAATAAGGGCAAGGTCACGGCTGAATGTCCCTCGTTGACCTCTACATTCTTATTCTTATACGTAACATTGCTCCCTAGCAGGTGCATTTTCGAAGATATTCGCGTTTTCAACCTAAAACAAGCTTAGACCTTTATGTGACCTTCAGAGGTCAAATTTGGCAACGTTCAAGGTTATATCCGAACGTAAAATTTTCCGCTCTTTTCATTTCTGGGATCAAAAGTATGGGATCCCATTAAAAAAAATTGACCTGACCTTGAAATGACCTTCAAGGTCATTGTTGAGGTCAAATCCAAGGTCACCGTCAGATAGCCAGGAAAAAAGTCATAAAAACCCAGTACTTCACATTTTTTCTAGGACTCATATTTTTCTAGTTATTCTGCTCTTCTCGGTCTTTTATAACACCCTGTATATATACACAGTGTGTCCCGTTTTCAATTCCCCAGGCAAATATCTCGAAAAATATGGAAGATATGGAAAAGTATTTCAGACAAAAGTTATATGGTTTCAAGGGGTACATAAAACAATTATACCAGTTTGTTTACAGATAGCGTCGTTTTATAACATATTTACTGATCATTACTTTTCTTAAATAGAAACCTCAATTTTTTATTATACCATCTTTTTCTACCAATTAATTTGAACAACTTTTGTGTGAAATACTTTTGTATTTGCCTAATACTTTCTGAGATATTTAAGAAAAATGTGGTAACTTTTCAATATTTAACTCACGATATCTCGCTAACTATTTGTCGGAAGAAAAAGTGGTACTAGACTTTTCTATTCTATTTAATATCAAGAATATATTATTATAATAGCGCCCTGACTTTTGTTAACTTACTGACTATTGGAACTTTCAAAATGATCAGATTAACAAAAGTCAGGGCGCTATTGTAACAATATACATATTATTGAGACCAAGTAGAGCAAAAAAGTCTAGTACTTTTTCTTCCGACTCTAGTACTTTCCGATATTAGGTTAAGATAAATATTGAAAAAGTTATCAAGTTTTCCTTAAATATTTAAAAAAATATTAGGCAAATAAAAAAATGTTTCAGACAAAAGATGTTAAAATTAATTGGTAGACAAAGATGATGTAATAAAAAATGGGAATTTCCACTTAAGAAAAGTAATGATCAGTGAATATTTTGAAAGTGAGGCCATTTGTAAAAGAGTAAAATGGTAAAAAACTTTTTGGTTTAGAATGGCTTAATTTATAATTATATGACAGTTATTGTAACGATAGGTTCCAGATTCAGGGTTCAAAGTTTAATATACTCATATCTACTGCTAGACATAATAGTCGTCATATAATTGTAGATTAGGTCATTCTAAATCAAAAAGTCTTTTAACATTTTGCAGATAAGTGTCCAAATTTTCAAGTTATCAATTAACAAACGTGTACATGTGATCATTTTCAATCATTAATAACTTAATAAGTATTGCGATTTTTGCAAAATGATACATGACTTTTTTCTCAATTTGGTGTGATTAATTTTCACAATTTTTCATTTCCAAAAAATCTCAGACATTTTGTATATATATTTGTGTGCTGGTTATTCTCATTCAATATATAAGTATATAACGAGTTGTTTCAAACTCTTTACAGAAACATGACGATCAATTTTCCACTTGTATACAATTGCACGATGTCTCATGATAGATGTCCGACAAATAAAGATATAGTAAATCTCTACAGGAATTGTAAACATAAAAATCCTTTCGGAAATCTACTTTGGTATCCTCAAGTGTATTTCACAAAGAACCTGTTGTTCTACAACCTGTTGTTTATATTGTTCCAAGTAATACCTTTCTGGTTCATCGATGAACTCCTACGATTATCAGGCAGACAACCGAGGTAAGATGTTAATTTCTCTCTCGATTAATCGATTGTGCAAACATATGTAATCATGTATTCACTATTGAAGCAAAAGGTAAAATCTTTTGAGACGATTTATACAAGATACATATGTATATAACATATATATCCCACTGTAAACAGTCGGTCCGAATATCTCGAAAATTGAGCCTGAGACAAAAATGTTTCAGACAAAAGTTGTATGTTAACCGATATAGTTGTTTAAAGGGAGGCATAAAATAACTATATCGGTTTGTTTACAGATGACGCCACTTTTAAGATGTTCATTATCATTACTTTATGATATTCATGATCATTACTTTTCTTAAACAGAAACTCCAACTTTTTATTGTCAATATTATACCTTACTCTTTTTACCAATTAATTTGAATAACTTCTGTCTAAAACATTTTTTTATTTGCCTAGTATTTTTTGAAATATTTAAGGAAAACTTAATAACTTTTTCAATATTTAACTTACAATATCTTGCTATTTATCGGAAGAAAAAATAGTACTAGACTTTTTTGCTCTATTTGATCTCAAGAATATATTGTTACAATGGTATCCTAAGTTTTATTAATTTATCGATTTTTGGGAATTTCAAAATTATCAAATTAACAAAAGTCAAGACGCTATTGTATTAAGTTGGGAAATAATTGCAGATTTCACTGATAGATGGCGTTAGTTGAATTTTTAGGTATATTTACGTATTCGAAATGTCAAACCTATATTGTTATTTGATAATTGGTACTTTAACTGGCATTCAGTAAAAAAATTGTATCGATCGGTTGTGTAATTTTTGTTTGGCGTCGATTGAAAAATGGAAAAGCAAAACGAGCATTTTCGTCATATTTTGCTTTTTTACTTCCGCAAAAGAAAAAACGCATCACAAGCCCACAAAAAGTTATGTGCCGTGTATGGAAACGAAGCTTTAAAAGAACGACAGTTAAAAGGACGATAGTCAAAATTGGTTTGCTAAATTTTGTTCCGATGGTTTTCTACTCAAAGATGAACAACGCTCTGGTCGTCTAGGTGAAGTTGATGACAATCAATTCAAAACAATAATCGATGCAGATCGTTGTAGCACAACGCGTGAGATCGCAGAAAAGCTCAATGCATCACATGCATTGAAAAGCGTTTAAAGCAATTTGGCTATGTAAAAAAAACTCGATTTATGGGTTCCTCATAAACTTAAATAAATTCATTTATCACAATACATTGCCATCTGATATTTGTTTATGAAACGTAACGAAAATGATCCATTTTTTAAATGATTGATAAGTGGTGATGAAAAATAGGTTGTTTACAACAATATCAATCGAAAAAAATCGTGGAACAAACAAAATGAACCAATGAAAGCCACATCCAAAGCTGATATTTATCAAAAGAATTCATCAAAAGAAAAGTTATGTCATCAGTTTAGTGGGATTGCAAAGGAAATGTCTACTTTGAAGTTTTACGACGCAACCAAACAATCAATTCAGGTGTATACATTCAACAACTAATTAAACTGAATAATGCATTTCAAGAAAAGCAACCAGAATTAGCAAATCAAATATTGTGTTCCACCATGACAATGCAAGGCCACACACATCCTTAGTTAAAAATTATTGCAGATTGGTTGGGCTGTGTTGCCACATCCACTATATAGTCCTGCCCTTACACATCAGATTATTATTTACTTCTTTATTTGCAAAACTTTTTGAATGGTAAAATTTTCAATAATGATGATGTCAAATCGCACTTGTTTTATTTTTTGCTGATAAAAACCAGAAGTTTTATAAACATGGAATTATGCTGGAATAATGCTACCTGAAAGAGGGCAAAAAGTCATTGATAAAAATAAACAATACATTACTGCATAAAGTTATTTCGTTATATGAAAAAATTGTCTTTTATTTTCTTAAAAAATTCGCAATTACTTAGTTGCCAAACCAATAACAATGTATTCTTGAGATCATTTAGAGTAAAAAAATCTAATACCATTTCTTCTTCCAACAAACAGTTAGCGAGATATCGTAAGTTAAATATTAAAAATATTACCAAGCTTTTCTTAAATATCTTAAAGAATTTTAGACAAATAAAAAAATATTTCAAATAAAGTTGTTCAAATTAATTAGTAGAAAAAGAAAATATAATAAAAAATTGGGATTTCTATTTAAGAAAAGTAATAATCAGTGAATATCTCGAAAGTGACATCTTTTGTATACAAGCCGATATAGTTGCTTTATGTTTCCCTTGAAACTATACAACTTTTGTTTGAAATATTTTTGTTTATCGGGCATAATTTTTGAGATATTCAGATCGACTGTTTACAATGGGACACACTGTATACTATAGATGCTAAGATCAATTCTGAACAAGTATCGTGTTGCCCATTTGCAATTTGTTGATATATTTACAGATATATTAGGTGTACAATTTTGCCTCCGCCGTTTTTTTCGAAATTCGAGGCTTTATTATAAAAAACTGGTTATACATTTATGATTCAAAGTATTGTCCATCGCTGGCCACTACTTTCTCCCATCTTTCGGGCAGCGTACGAATCCCGCGTTGAAAAAACTGGTCATCTTTTGAAGCGATCCACGAATCGATCCAATTTCTTACTTCTTCATAAGACCGGAAGTGCTGGTCAACCAGGCCGTGTGCCATTGATCGAAACGAGTGATAGTCAGAGGAAACAACGTCTGGAGAATACGGCGGGTAGGGTAGGACTTCCCATTTCAACGTTTCCAAGTATGTCTTGACCACTTTCGCAACATGGGGTCGAGCATTGTTATGCTGCAAAATCACTTTATCGTGTCTCTCGTTGTATTGCGGCCGTTTGTCTTTCAATGCTCGGCTCAAACGCATTAATTGCGTTCGATAACGATCGCGTGTGATTGTTTCAGTCGGTTTTAACAGCTCATAATACACTACGCCGAGCTGGTCCCACCAAATACAGAGCATGACCTTGGAGCCGTGAATATTCGATTTGGCCGTCAACGTGGAAGCATGGCCGGGATATGCCCATGATTTTCTGCGCTTGGAGTTATCGTAATGAACCCATTTTTCGTCCCCAGTCACAATGCGATGCAGAAATCCCTCCCGTCTTTGCCTTTCAAGCAACTGTTCACAAGCAAACAAACGCCGTTCAACATCTCTCGGTTTCAACTCGTACGGCACCCAATTTCCTTGCTTCTGAATCATTCCCATGTCTTTGAGGCGTTTTGAAATTGCTTATTGAGTCACTCCCAATGATCGTGCCAATTCTTCTTGACTTTGACACGAGTCTTCATTAAGTAATGCCTCCAATTCTGCATCTTCGAAAACCTTCTCTCTTCCACCGCTATGCCGGTCTTCGACGTGAAAATCACCGTTCTTGAAGCGTTGAAACCACTCACGACACGTTCTTTCACTAATAGCGGCCTCACCATAAGTATTTGAGAGCATTCGATGAGCCTCAGCCGCAGATTTCTTCATATTGAAGCAGAAAATTAAAACCTCCCGCAAATGACGAGAATTTGGCTCGTAAACTGACATTTTCAGTCGAGAATAACTTTATGATACAGACACAAATCGACTAATGTTTCTATGGGGTTATGATGACAGATACCCAAGTTTATTGCATGACGTCTATGATCTATTTATTTCGACCACTATTTACCGCTAAAGGCATCTATAGGAAAACGGCGAAAGCAAAGTTGTACACCTAATGAAACAGAGATAAAAAAATTGCAAAATAATGTGTTTAAAATAACAAATATTACCTACATTTTAAGATAAAACTCTACAATTCTTTTCTCACTATTTCTTTTACAATAAACACGTATAATTATTGTATAGATAACATGATTTTTTGACAAATTTATTCGACCTTCTTTAAATCACAGATTGATGGCATTGCAGAGGAAAATTTTTATAAATAATTACCTTTTGGCACATTTCGTACTAAACAATTGGGACATACGAAATGAAAGGGCGATTAGCCTGTCTGATGAAATACCAAACGATCAACAAGAATTTGGATATAGAACGGTCCTCTCTAAGGGAATTGACGTACCATATATTGAGTAAGTGACAAACCTGCTTTATTTACTAATTATTGTTACGTCCAACTTACGTCGTAACTTAAAACAACCTTTCTAAATTCAATCATAAAATTAATTCAACAATAATATTTAGACCGGATATTTTGGCTACTCGATCCTCAGTCTAGATGTAATAAATACGACACCGAATGCTTCTTCACCGGAGAAGACTAAAAGAACAATAGATAGATAATAAATACCATGACCACGATTATTGATTATTACTCTTATGTCGTGTGAAACACCTTACCCCTTCTTCTATTAAAGTGATAAGAACTCGCGTGGGAGTGTCTCACCACCATAAAAGGGCAACACGAATGACAACCAGCGGCTTTAGCTCTTAGCTTTTAAATAGGACACACAATTCTTGCGCACTTAGGTGACACTTGGGAAATATGTGGGCACCTCAAACTCTTATACCTGACGAAATTCTTTTTAATTCCTTGCAATATTCAAATCTCAGTTTACAGTAACTTATCATTCATGCCAAAAATCATCTTTGATACTTTACATCAATTGTTCGTTGTAAATTTTAATTGCTATCTATATTTCGTTCTAATTTAATTGCCATTCACACTAGTTGCCATTGAATTCATATACAAGTCTCTCAGTTGTATTCAGCCGGTAAATAAAGGTTTGTTTTAAGATACAGTTTCGCCCAGTGTCACATAACCGAACCTCTCCACTCTGACCCCTATCTTCTTTTTATTCATTTGTCAATCGTCGTCCAGTACGTAACGCTCCTAAAGTCCGCTAACCAAAAAGCTTAAACGCAAGTAAATCAGTTGGTTAAATTTATTCATTTCTCTCTTATTTCCCTTTCATACCCATACATCACACACAAGTTTGCCGATCCCAGGGTAAATTGGTTTAATCCATTGACCCGAAAACGACAACTCATAAACATTCACGATCAAGACGTGACATTATAAAATGTCACACACAGGTATTTACTAGCAGATAAATCAAACTATTTATTTTTATCGTATCTTTCATAGAAACAGCATAACTGGAGCTAAAATATATCTTCTGAATGAACGTATGGATCATTTAGACGCAGCAAAATCGCAGTTAAATAGGTAAAAACCGAGATTTTGTTCCTTTTTTATTGCAAAGTGATCTAAAATTTACATTATTCTGACTATCGATCGAATATCTTTCACGATCTCATTTTTATAAAAGATTAACGTCTTGTTAACGTCTACATTTTAAAACAGAATAGCTAGCAGGTACATTTTTTTTTTAATTTCTCGATAGCATATAGCAATTTTTAAATAAAAAATTTGGTTTCTGTTCGCGCCGAGAGGAGGCGAACGAACACCGGGAGCCGCTTCGTATGAAGCGCGGGAGTGGACACAATAGCTAGTGAGCGTGACGAAAATGGAGCGACATCAAAATGTTAAACACACGCGAAACTTTATTATTTAACAATTGTGATTCGAGTCGGCTCGCGCTGTTGGAGGTTTTCGAACGGAAATTTTGCCGCGTTACGACCGGAAATCTTCTTGGCGGCTTGAACGACCGATCCAACCTTTACGCCGAATCGGCGGATCACAATTACAATAAATGACGGAAAAGCGAAAAGGGCGCGCATGTGGCCTTTTCGCGTGATTGCTATCGCATCTTCGCCCTTGCGACCGATTCCGATTCCGAATATAAATCGGATGAGCGCCGAATCGGCAGCAAAGAAAGAAAAGTGGTCTCAAGATGCGGTGCGATCAGCGTTCTGAGAATTGCGTGACTGATCTTGAAAAACGGAGCGAATTCGTCTCAGAGTCGTTAGCTACACGCGGTCCTTTTAGATTGGCTCGACTTCGCGACACATTACCCGCTTTTTCAATATGGATATGTGTCGAGTCGCGAAGCGGAGCATTGCTTACACACGTGAGACGCGCGTGGCACATGCTCGAAACGTATGGCACAAACAAACAGGCTCGCGGCAACATCTCGTTTCCTTGTCGCTGATCCCCGCATCGTTGAGTCGACCTTTCTTATGACATAAAATAGCTTTCTTATGATATAAAACTTAAACTTAAAACTAGCTGTTCATGTGTGGGGCGCGTAAACAGTTTCACTTTATCGAGTTGTTAATACTAGGCTGATTAATAGACAAGTTTTTCGACAAATAAAGTTATTCGCTTCGACTTAAATCGCAAATTTCGATTATATGGTCGTTAAATATATAGTAATGAACATATTTATTTGTTTTCGGTATCATCAGAATGTACTGGATCGACATAATTGCGAAAGCCTCGTTTGTTATTTTCTTCATATGGATCATTTACAAAAACACTGTGTAACAAGGTAAATTGATTTTCATCAAAGTATACAATTTTTATGTATGACATTTAGCATCGAAGACTAATGTCTAAATGTCGAAATCAATTAATTATTATAAAATAATAATTTTTATTAGCGATTACATATATAGAATGTCAAAGTTGACATTTGAAAAACGTTGTTCCTTGAGTCTTGTAGGACGTTGTATTGTATTACTTTATAATTAAATTCTAATGGTTGAATGTTATGGGTTGAATAAAACAAAAAATTGTGAACATCGTCCTTCTTTTCTTATGCAAAATCATGCCATTGTACGAACGCCAATCATACATTATGTATAAGCTTACATTTTGCATGATAGAAATGACAATAATATGAATAAAATTATATGATAAATAATTATATGAATAAAATTCTTTCAATGCTATGCGAACGTAGTGGAGATGTTATATATAATTTATATAATGTTATATTAATTTGTGTAATGTTATATTAATGGTATTTTTAGAAATTTCAAATTCAAATTATTTCTTTTAAAAATATATATTGTATGTAACATAAGTTTTTACAAGTAAAACTTACCTAACTACAAAAACGATGTGAAGATATCAAAAATATAATACTTACCTTTTTAAACAAAAAGGTTAAGAAAGGCGCCAACTACACGTGCAACACGTATTGTTATTTTTAGAAATCTCAAATTCAACTTATTATTTTTTTTCAAGATATACGAGGGCGGTCCGATAAGTACTTAGCCTCACCGCCCGATGGCGCCACTATCGCAAGAGAAATTTACTATCGTGTAGTACATTCTCGTAGACGGCTACTGTCGAAATTTCAGCCGAATCGGACTCGTAGTTTTGTTTTGACCGCATGTGGAAGCGGGCGTGTCCGCGGATTTTAGAAAAATGGAAAAAGAGCAATATCGGTCGTTGATTCGATTCTTGTTTTTGGAAGGGAAATCGCGCAGCGAAATCAAAGAGCGCTTGGATGCTGTGTACGGTGACTCTTCTCCTTCGATGGCGACCGTCAAAAATTGGTTTAACGAGTTTCAACGTGGTCGCACGTCGGTTTTTGATGAGCCACGCCCAGGTGCCCCGAAAACGGCTACCACGGAGGATAACATGACAAAAATCCACGATCTCGTATTGGCAGACCGCCGATTGAAGGTGCGCAAGATAGCTGAGACAGTAGGCATCTCAAAAGACCGCATGGGTCATATCCTGCATGAAATTTTGGGCATGAGAAAGCTGTCGGCGCGATGGGTGCCGCGTTTGCTCACTCTGGACAACAAGCGCAACCGTGAGACCACTTCAGAGCAGTGTTTGACGCTGTTTAAGCGCAATCCGAAGGAGTTTCTGCGTCGTTTCGTGACCGTCGACGAAACATGGATCCACTGGTACACACCAGAGACTAAGGAACAGTCGAAACAGTGGACTTTACCCGGCGAACGTGCTCCGAAGAAGGCGAAGACTGTCCTATCGGCCGGAAAGGTTGATGGCCACCGTTTTCTGGGATTCACAAGGTGTGATCATCGACTACCTGGAGAAGGGCAAAACGGTCACAGGGCTGTACTATGCCGAATTATTGGGCCGATTCGACGCCGAATTGCAGAAAAAACGGCCCCATTTGGCGAAGAAAAAAGTGCTCTTCCACCATGACAACGCACCGGCTCACACCTCCGCCCTCGCCACGGTCAAATTGGTCGAATTGGGCTACGAACTGCTGCCCCATCCACCGTATTCTCCAGATTTGGCCCCGTGCGACTTCTTTTTGTTTCCAAACTTGAAACAGTCACTCGCCGGGCAGAAATTTGAGTCGAATGAGGAGGTCATCGCCGCCACGGAGGTCTACTTTGCAGACCTCGAGAAAACGTATTTTTCAGACGGGTTAAAGAAGTTGGAGCATCGCTGGGTCAAGTGTATCGAGCTAAAAGGAGACTATGTTGAGAAATAAATCGCCACTTCCAAAATTTTCGTTTTTCTTTTGTAGGCTAAGTACTTATCGGACCATCCTCGTATATGTACATAAGTTTTTACAAGTGAAACTGTAAGAGATATATAGTGACAAATCGATCTATGAACATAGTTATATTTAGTTGGTTACTGTCCGCGTTAAGTTCTTTTTTTTCTTTAGTTGACAGGCGTGTGCGATGGACGTATGGTTTCAACACGTCAAGCAAAAGAGACTGTTGTCAAGTCTGTCTCTCATTGTATGGTGATCGAGTAAAACGAGCGTGCGTGCATCATATACTGTAGCATATTTCATTGTTTATTTTCCTTTTCGTCATTAAAGCTAATATGACACAATCAGGGAAGAGTTAATCATTCATCCCCGACAATTGGTAGCAGAGCTTGGTTTGGTTCTAAAAGGAAACCCTGAGTAAAAAGTTCTGGTTAAGGAAAAAGAAACGTACTGGACAACGCTCGAGGTACGACGAAAGCGAAACAAACATGGCGGAAAAATTATAATTACTGACTATCCTGTTGCTGAGGGGAGATAACTATTTTAACTGACGAGTTAAAATGGAATCGGTGTTGCAGTTAAAAGGATTGCTAAATGTCCTTACTCAAAATCGCCCAACAGGAAAAGAGAAAAAAAAGAGAGCAGAATGGGATGAAAAGGATGCTGATGCGGTCACATGTATGATATATGCCTATCACTGAGTGATGAGCAAGTTCTGCAGTTCGCGAACTATACAAACGCGAAACAATTGTGGAAGGCAATACTTGACGCATATGCTGGACCAGCGGAGGATAGAGCAATTGATGCTGGGGAAGAACTGCGAAATATCAAAATGTTAGATGATGAGATGGCCAGTGAATATATAAGTCGTGCAAGGGGACTGTCAGTCAAATGTAATGAAGCAGGACTAAATATATCCGAACGCCACCTCTGTGAAGTTAGCCCGACTTTTACAAAATTTGAAAAAAATGAGCAGAGTTCTGATTGCCCCCCAAAGAGTTCTAGAGTTCTCTATCAATAAAAAAAAGAATTCCGTTGATTAAAGTGGTCAAAACATGAAATAAAGTTATGGGGGGGCCAACTTCATAATTGCGTAAATTTAAAAGGCCATAATTTTTTTACCTTAAACTTTAGCGCTTTGATGCATAAGGAAAATCGATAGAACTCTTCGGAGGGCTACCAGAACTCTAAAGAAATTGACCGATTTTTGGAAAAATGTTTCTCTTGTACTTAGAAATTCGATATCTGCGATACTTTGATGAGTTAGAATTCTTTCATTTCTGCTTGAATTGATTCAAGTCATAAGGAAAACCGATAGAACTCTTCGGGGGCTTACCAGAACTCTAAAGAAATTGACCGAATTTTTAAAAAATATTTTCTCTTCTAATTGGAAAATTTGGCATCTGCGATACTTCGATGAGCTAGAACTCTTTCATTCCTGCTCGAATCGATTCAAGCCATAAGGAAAACCGATAGAACTCTTCGGGGAACTACCAGAACTCTGAAGAAATTGACTGATTTTTGAAAAAAAATTTTCTCTTGTACTTACAACGGAACTGTCAGGGGTGTCCCTCACCGATTTGATTCTCCTTGAAATATGTTATAAAACAAACAAATCAAAGAGACATCCGAGCATAATCCAGCCAGTCAAGACGAGATCCTGTATTGCCTGATAATCAATGAACTATAACAATTGTGAAAGTGCAATTGTCAATTCTTTTAATGAAACAAATATCAAGAGGCTTGTTTCAAATTTCTTACTTGGGCAACTGTCGGTATTTTGGCGAAGTCTCAGACAGACGCATATTATTATCCATTGACTTTTTTTTTTATAAGACAGGAATTTTTGGTTTTTTGGCACTTTTTCTCTTTATAATTATGGCTGCTTATCCAGCAAATGAAATTGTGGACATGATTCGCATTTTGGGTGAGGCCAGGAATAATTACTCGGCAGCAGAAAGGCTTTATGCTGAAAGATTTCCAGATAGACGCCATCCTGATAGGAAAGTAATAAAAAGACTCTGCGACAGAACTGAACAGGGTTTTCTTAGAAGAAACCGGCGAAAATCGGCGAAAGTCACATCATTGACTGTTATAGGTGCCATTGCTTTGAATCCTCAAATTTCTACGAGACAAATTGAGAGGCAATACGGTATATCTAAATCAACAGCCAATCGTGTGCTCAAGCTCAACAAGTTTCACCCATATCACATTCATCTAACTCAGCAATTGGAAGAGAGGGACTACCAACGCCGTGTATGTTTTTGTAACTGGGTTCGAGATCAAATACAACAAAATCCCCGGTTCATTGCTGATACGCTTTTTTCTGATGAAGCCACGTTTTGTAATAGAGGAGGCGTTAATAGACATAACTGCTATTATTATTCAGATGCTAATCCACATTGGTAGAGAAGCCAAGAGTTCCAACGGCAGTGGTCCATTAACGTTTGGGCAGGCATCCTGGGAGATGTTATTGTTGGTCCTTATTTTTTTGAAAAATGCGACAATCAATGCGGCAATCTATCTAAGATTTCTTCAAGATGACCTGCTCAACCTCTTGAGACATGTCGACAATGATTTACTCAGACGAATGTGGTTCCAACAAGACGGAGCACCGGCTCATAGATCTCGAGCTGTTACACAATATTTAAACAATAGATTCCCGAATAGGTGGATTGGTACGGGCAGCCGAGTTCAAGAATGGCTCCCAAGATCATTCGACTTGACACCCCTAGATTTTTATTTCTGGGGCTACAATAGAGATATAGTTTATTCGCAAAAGCCTACAACCGTTGAAAATATGAAAAACCGGATCAGACAGGCTTGCAGAAATATTAATGTAGGTGTTCTTGAAAAAGTTAGGGACGACTTTCACCATAGACTAGAGCTATGC